TTAAAAAAAAAAAAAAAAAGTCCAATGATTTTTGTGGAGCCTCTGAAACTCAGAGAAGCAGCAACAGTACACCAAGAAACTAGCTTTGCTGGTTTTTGTTCACACAGGCCAGAGGTGTGTCTAATCCCACTACTATGAGATATACAGAGGAAATAAGGACAGGACTAGAGCTCACACCTGAAGTCCAATAAAACTGATTTATGTCCACTTAAAAACACTAGTACTTGCTTCAGGCTAGGTGCTCTCAAATGCTAGTGACTACAACAGATCTTCAATCCAGAGCTGTGTTGCATTAGCGGCTCTATGCTGGAAATCATAGCACAAACGTTTCAGCTGCCTTTGTTCCATTTTCCTGTGCCAAGCCCTCTGTTGCTGCGACAGAACCACAGGAACAAACATGTCAGTGAGCTCTCGTCATAATCAGAACTTTGTTATCTGTGCTGGCTTCCTCAGCACACTGACAAGCCACATCCAGCTGATTCCAGCAACCTGGAACAGCACAATGCTCAGTGGCTGAACATCTAATTATCAAGATAGTCCAGGTAGGTCATACCACTGGAGCCACTGAAATGCAGGGCAGCATAACTAATTAACTGTTTCCAGAATCCCTTTCCATCTCTTCAGTCCCTGCTGCTCTCCAACATGACCATATGTTTTCTGAAGCACTGCAATCACTATGTACCTTATCACTTCCCTTAACTGTCCAGGGAAATGGCTTACAGATACACTAAAACTAAAATGTTCCCATCCTTACTTTTTAACTGTTGCTCTTTCTTTTGTCTTCAGGGGTTGAGAAGACAACTTCTCCCCACTTGACTATATTGTTCTCAAATATTTGTTCAGTTGTCTTATCGTCTCCGAGCTTTATGGGAATTTAGGACAGAAGAATGTAATTGGTACAGTTGGAATTTAGCCAAGGATAAGAATCATAGTACTTGATTTTACACCACCCAAAGATGCACTTGCTTAGCTAGAATAGAACTGGGGCTACTCCACATGCCAGTTTTACAACCAGAAGGGATGCAGCTAGCAATAGCTGGTGACCCTAAGAGCTCAGGTCTAGTAAGCCCAGCACTCTAAAGCCTGCAGTGAAGATCTACACAGCAGCAGCATTTCTTTCAGGGTAGACAAGGTCTGGTGTGTTTGGAGGATAGCAAGTGTTCTGTATTTGTGAAAGAGGATGGAGTCTCAAAGCAATCAGTCAGAACTTTTCTGCCTCTCTAATAACCAAACTGGTAAGGCGTCATTGCTACCTCTGCCATGACAGAAGTGCCTCAAACACTTAATCCAACACTTACTCTCCACAAAGATTTATTTTGCCAGGAGGCTGTAATCTCAGTTGTCACATCAATCCTTACTGCAATCCTTCCAGGATGTAGTATTCTGACTGACCCTGCTAATAGCACTTGTGTAGACTTCCTAGAGATTTTGAATTCCAGTTCTAATATTTCTCAAAGGTTTGGGTTGTTTTTTTTAATTTTGTAATTGTGTAAGGCCTTTGTCCCAATTTCAAGCAGCCTAGCCAGTCTTCAGCCACAACTGTTTTCAGCTGCCCATGCATAAGATGTCTAATCCAAAAATCAGTTCCTTTTCTCAACTGGAAGACCACTGACAATCCATGAAGCCAAAATGCATTTATTTGCATTAATGCCAGTCACCACACAACAGGATTTCAGAGATCACTGAGATTTGCTCAGTTTCCTAAATTCTTAAATAACTTTCTCCCTCTTTTTATCTGAGCATTCTTCTTTCTGGCGCAGGCAATACATGGGTTCTCAAAGAGGTCTTCATGAGCCTCTCTTTAATATTTTTGATCCTGGTACTTGAGAAGAAATAAGCTACGACTTCCTTCTTAGCATCCTGGACAGCCTGCCACTGCCTCTCAAACACAGGATTCCTTGGAAAAACCACAGGGTGAGGCTACACTGGGCAAAGAGAGATTTTGATTCAAGTCATGCTTTGAATGTGAACGGTTTCCTTTATACACCTCCCAATCAGTGGCTTTAGCACTTGCAAATGTTGGGCTGATTCTCCTGATTTTGTCAGACTGTCATGAAGGGACAGTTCAAAGCATACTCACCCACTCCCTTATACTGGGTGGATGCAGAGCCTCTGCCACAGTCTTAAGGCATTTTGGAAACTCCTGGCACTAGACTAATCCTGTATTTTATTTTATTTTGTTAGTTTCACAGTTGCAGGGTCTACTTTAGTTTGGAACACAGAAGCATCACTTCGTTGATCAAGCCCATATAAAAGGGAAAAAAAGACTTTCATAGGTGGCCCATTCCTATCCCTCATAAAATACCACATGATTAATGCTTAGAAGTACTCAGTGGGGTAATGGGATATAATGTAATGTGGTAACCTATTTTTTAACATGGAAATCACATTTCTCCATTCATTTCCCCTTAAGAATTCACCCCAGAGAGCCCTGGACTTGGCCTGTATGACAGGAAATATCGTATGTATCCATAGGTACTATCATCACTTAAAAGTTAATCTTCTTATACCAGAGACACAGAGACAAACCAATCACACCAGAAGTCTACTTCCTGCACCTCTCTATAAACTCACCTCACTGCTGAGAGCTGTAAACTTGCAGAGAGAAATTATGAGATTGTCAAACACATCACTCAGGCCATAGTGAGCAGAAATCATTGCACATTTCCTGAAAGAAAAACAAAACACATAACCAAGAATATAAAACATGGATTGGCAACCCCTGGCATGCATGCTAGAACATGGTATATGAGGACATTTTGCTTGGCACACCACAGCTGGCCTGGGCTCTGGGCAGCTGCTGCCAGCCACAGAGCCCACGCAGCAGGTGGCGAGGAGGCTGCTAGGCCTACTGCAAGCAGTCTAGACTCCATGGCAGCAGTGACCCAGAGTCCAGGCTAGCTGCAGCAGCTAGGAGGCTGCTACTGGTGCATTGGGGTCTGAAGCCCTGGCCCAGTGCCGTGCCCGGTTGTGGTTGCACACTCACCTTGGGTTGCATGGCAGTTCAACCCCGACTCCTGCCCCACCATCTGCCCGGAGGTGCCTGTGCACCTGTCGCTAACAATGAGGTGGGCTGGGGCTCTGCAGACCTCAGTACAGCTGTTTACAGCCTTTTGACCGCCTGCTGCAAGCAGTCTAGCTCTGTTTTGGGCAGCAGGGGCCTGCCCAGAGCCTGGGCCAGCTGTGGCAGCTGGCTGGGAGGCTACAAGCCGCTGCACCAAGGTCTGTGGAGCCCCTACCCAGCTTGTTGCTGGCCGTGGGTCCATGTGTGCCTCCAGGCACAGTGTGGGAGAGGCTGGGGTTGTGCTGCCCAGAACCCTTCCTCACCAGGCACCCCCAGGCACATGTGCAGCTGCCACTGATCATGAAGCCAGGGCTCTGCACTGTGGTGCAGCTTTTTGCAGCCTACCTGCCACCTGCTGTGAGAAGCCTGGATTCTGTGGATGACAGCACCTGCATGCAAACCTAGGGGTGTGGCAGGGAAAAGACTGGGGCAGCACAACCCAGGCCTCTCCCTTGCCATCTGCCCAAAGGCGTGTGTGCACCTGTTGCTAGCAACAAGGATCAGGTCCCTTGCAGCATCATTGCCATCTGCCCCTGGCACACCAACTCAAGGCGTGAGTCAAGGGTGGGGTGTTTCTGGCTCCAGCCAAAATTGTTGTCAAACCCTAGTATAGAAAGTTCCCTATATGGAACCACATGTATGGTTCTCTCTTGGCTGAGACTGCAGGAACTCCTCCCCACATTCACCCTCCCATCATTTTACAGTATAAGCCAATATTCAGAAACCTACTTCTGTCCCTCAGGAAATCAACTCTCCAGCCTACAGTTTCACAGAGATGCTGAAACACCATTATCTCCTGGGCTGAGCTAGAAATAAAACCTAGGTAAAAATCCAAGACTCCTGCACTTGAGTCAAGGTTGCCTGTTCGAAGCTTGGCATGAGGTACAGCTGCTGAAGTTCATTCATAATGTTGAAGGCACAGTTTGAAAAATACTTTGGCTATAACGGTATTATAAAAGAGCTTTAAAATGTGCTTAAACATGGCCTGAACTGAACTGTAACTCACCAGACCTGGGCCTGGTCTAGGGAAGACCTTCTGCCAGGGCATGGTATTTTGAGACTGGATGGCTTAAAAGCACTCTAGGACCCTCTTCAGCCCCAACTAAGATTTCCTCTACATCAGAAAAGTTTGTTGCTGCATCAATAAATTTAGGAGAGACAGCTTTCAACTAGCAAAAAATACCAGTTCTTCTGCTGGTATAGCTTATAAGTCCCTAAACAAAACATTGCTACCCCAGTCAAAGGACATTCCTGTTAGCATAACTATGTCTACACTTCTTTTTTTTTTTTGCCAGAACTATTAGAAGTATGATTTCCCTCCTCACTCTACCCCTGCTCTGAACTGACAATATCTGTCCCAGAAAAAAAAAAAAAAAAAAAAAAAAAAAAA